AATCATGTCCAAGTATTAATTTTTGGTTCACACAAGAAGACTCATCACAGCAATTGAGGGTTTCGAGTTCGAAAAGCCTATCGAGGAGGCGCTTCGATGCCGCCACCCCTCCTCCCTGCTGCTGATGTCAGGGGCGGAGCCCTTAAGTTCAAATTTCTGTTGTGATTGCCGAGACAAACGGAAGAATCGCGGCCCCTAGCAACAAGGACCAGATGCACAGAAACACAATTATGTTCAGATTCTGCCAGCGAGCAGTGGCAGGTGTTTCGTTGTCTCACATGGCAGTGATATACAGTGAGTCCAGCGCGGTGCGGAAGAGCACGAGTAACGGCATCGCTGGCCTCTTTTTCGGCAATACACCTTTTCCTCCATCCTGGCGAGGGATGTAAGCTTGTGCACTTGTGTGGAAGCATCCACACAGTCCTGTACATACGGGACTAGTTACCATGTGAATTCATGTGCATTACGAAACTGTCGTTTCGTTCGCATCCTCCAGGAGGAGTTCGAGCAATAGCATTGAGACCCACTTATAAGGTCTGGGGCATTGCACTGTGTTTTTAGAAATCCCACTACAGCCAGGAGCGTGTACTGTGCGATCCATCAATAGAATACGCCCATAGCACAACTTTTATTTGCACAATATCTGGTGGTACACTAAAACTGCGTTGTGGCTAAGGACACATTTGAGGGGTCAAATTCATGCAGGCACTGCCGAAGAAGACTGAGTGGGGTTAGCTGTTCTTATTGCACATCTTGCCGTTTGAGAAAACCAGCTTCATTCTCACGCTTCCGCCACCTCTTTTCCTGACTCCTGTTGTCGGCAGAAAACTTTCAGAATTTTCGCTCACAAGCTCTCCGAAAGTGCCTTTGGCAGACTGTATCTGTTCGTTCACCTGGAATGGCCCTAGAGCATTTCGTTCATCGCCTATTCAAATTGTACTCAGAACAAGCCCCCTACTCCGTTCTAAGGTGCTAGATGGGTGTTGTTCCCGTGTTTCCTATACGACAGCTTGGTGGGCTTTGCCTTGGAGATGACTGCGCTCTCGAACTCGCCGCGTCTCACTCGAGATGACACAGAAAACAAGCGGCACATGGAGCAATAAAGTACAGCGCCTCTGAACTTGGAGCCACGCTCTACACATCACAGCGGAGCCAAGAACCTCCACGCAGGGGGCTTCATCATCCTCAGCGTCTTGGTCGTATACTCAGTGCACTTCATGGCATATTCCCTCTCATACACTCCCCGAATTGCCGCATTCTCAGCTTCTGCGTTTAACGTGCTAGCAGGACGCGCAGGCCTTGCGCAACACTACACACACGGCCTTAATGCTAGCACCCCTAAGGTAGCCATACACCGTGAAACTAGCCAGCAGGTAACTAGAGGCTGCGAATCCGACATGCATGCACTTGCCGTATCCGCCAGCTGCGTTGGTTGGGCAAAAGTCCCCAAACTAAAGTGCCAGACGTCCCTGCTCCCTCCAGAGATCTGTAACTCGACGAATTCGCACACAGATCAACATGAGCCAGAGCCAACCAGAAGGCGTGTTTCGGGGGAAGACAAAAGGCTTCTAGACAAGCGTATTAGCAATTGCGCGGCTAAGCACTACGCGATCCGCCAAGCGTAGAGATTTTTCAAGTATGCTCAACAGCCCGAGTCATTCTCCTACAGTCGCCCGCTACACGCGTCGCATCCGCAGGTATTGCCTGTGGAAGTTTCCAGCAGCAGCTGCAGTCCCCGTGTTTTTTGCTTGTGCGCATGAGTGAGTTTCGCTTCGGGTGGAACGCGTGAGACACAAACTTGAAAGCAGCAAGACCAATCAAAACCAATTGCTAGTGTTGCTACACGCAGAGACGTTTCACTGCCATGTGTCCCGCCAGTACCTCCCGTGTTTTTTCTTATATTGCAGCAGCTGCTGTGCGTGCTGCGGCGACAGCTGCTCCTGCTCTTGCAACAGCGCCAACAGCTCAGACTCGACTTGAGACGGCATTGGGTGTGCATTACCGCACACCAGAATGCAGCCCTCTGCATCCAGTAGCAGCGAGGTAACCTGCAGCAACAGCAAAAGCGAAGCGTTCTACTTGCGGCAGCCGTCCGTTGCAGCAGCACCCTGAAGCGTCGCGTCTTTCAGACTCAGAAGCCTCCTCCTGGGAGGTAAGGGTGCAACAACAGCAGACGGAACCACGACTCGCTAACCTACCTCCTTCGCATGCATGCGCAGTAAGTCCTGGACATACACCTTGCCCATATCCGTGTGCCTCTGCAAGAAGCCTCCGCCATACAGCGCAGCCCTCGCGTTGTCGCTTGCGCTGCGGCTGGCGCTGCTCCAGCTGCTGCACGTGCGGGAAAATGCAACAAACGTTTGCAGCCACGCCGCATACGTGCACCACTCATCCCCGAATAAAAAGTCTTTCTGCTCATTTCTGAAGCCTAAAAATAATAAATCCCGCTTTTGTAGCGGTCCTTCCTGCTGCCTTCGCTGCACACAATGACGGTACTGCACAAGCGCACGAATGGGTGCCACACCCGTTCCAGTGGCAATGAGCAACCATCGAGAGGAGGCATGCAAGAATGCAGCCGGGAGCGCCGAGGGCTGTATGTACACTGGAAGCAGACTTCCAACCTGCGGAAAAAACCGCAAAGCATGAGAAATTCCGACTAAAGCAACGTCGGCTTGAAGGGGAGTTCGCAAGCGGCTCATGCCAGCGCCAGCAGCAGCCCAGACAGCGGAGACGACTGAGATTTTTGTCACTTTTTGCACTCAGATGCCGCGGCACTCGCACATACATGCAAAATCACCGCAACCTTGGTAAAAGCGATCAGGCGTGTATATAATGCATTCTCCGCACAGGTTTACGCGCAAGCAGGCGTGTATGCTGCCGAAAGAAAGAGATGCCACGCCATGAAAGGTGCAAGAAATGACGAATCACCAGCTGTACAACACAGCTGCCTGTAGAACGTCATGCCACATGGGTAACAGCAAGCCATGTCGGTGACATCACGACATATGGGTAGCTTTCTGCTGTATGAATATACAGAACAGAGGGTGAAGGGTGCCCCCTCCCTCGGTGCAGTGTTTGTCTTTGTCTTGGGGAGGCCTACTTGGGCATGGAGGAGGTGTTGGCTACAGACTCCAAAACACTTTCTCAAATTAGATGTTTCGTGCTCGACAAGCGCCACGCACAGATCCACAACCACATGCTGCTGCTTGGACTGTCGCTCAAGAAGAGTTGCGGCGGCAAGAGAACGCATGCGGTTGGCTGTTTCTTCGGTGACAAGTAGATTCAGCAGCGAGGAGGTGCCCCCCCCCAAAAAAAGGGCAGATCCGAGCAGCAGCAGCGCAGCTGCTGCTGGCACTGCAGCTGCATCACCTGCAGCTGCCAACCCTGCTTGATCGCCAACAGATCCCTCGTGCACTGCGACTGCTGCCGACACTGGTGGAGAGGTGTCTGTTGCAGCCAGGTCGCCTTCTGCAGCAGATCGCTGTATCCAACTGGCAACAGAATACTTCCTTGCCTCCAAAGGCAGCATAGTGCTGCAGAGTCTGTCGAGGGGCAGCAGCGGCGCTGCCGTAGCTGCTGCTGCTGCTGTTGTAGTTGGTGTACAGTCGGCAGCAGACGCAGGCGGCTCATGAATGCAGAAATCCCAGAACGCGTCTGCAACGTCTCTCCGCTGATCTCGGCAGTACGCGAAAAACTCGTCTTTGCCTTCCTGAAAAGAGGAAAATAAAACACCCCTCACATAACAAGCCGAAAGCGAGGCCCCTTGCCTCCCAAAAGAAGAATCGCCTCTCGCGCATTCAAAAAACCAAGTCGCTCGTGCAGCGGTGCATCATGTCTCTCTCTCCGCCAGGAACGCAGAGAGGTCAGCATACTACGGAGTTTAGCCAAGCCTAGCACAGCACAGCCCATGCTCACTAGCGTCCTGCTTGCGAAATGCTGCAGCTTTTGCCGTAATTCTTCGTTCGTCAGAAAGGCGGAGAGAAGCAAGAGCAGCACGCGCGAAGGCTGCGCCGTGATGTCTAGATAGCGAGCGAAAAGCTCGACAGCAGACACTACCACGGAGAATTTTTGGATGGTTGGTGGGGAGGAGGAGGCGGAGGACGCAGCAGCGGCTAATGCTGAAGACGGTGCAGATGCTGCACTGGAAATGCGAAGATAGGCGCTGGGGTCGAGTCGAATGGCTCGCAAGAATTGCAGAACGCGGCGGTGCTGTACCTCAGGATACACTGCAACGGCGGCTCCTGGAGGGGGGCAGTCGGTAATAGGCAGCAGCAGCTGCACAAACACCGGCACACAGCAAAACAAACCAAGAGAAGAGATAGACAAGTAGAGATAGATAGAGAGAGAGAGAAAGAGAGAGAGATAGATCTATATATATATATATATATAGAGAGAGAGAGAGAGACAGAGAGAGACAGAGAGAGAGACAGACAGAGAGAGAGACAGAGAGAGAAAGAGATGCAGTCTCAACAAGCAACCTCTCGGCAGCACAGAGCACATGGGGTGCACGAGTCAGACGGAAGGTGATCTCACACCAGCAACTAACACTGGATCCGTTTACTAGCGTTGCACACAAAAACTGCATCATGGCGTTCTAGGCTAGTGAGAAAGCGAAGGCACTAGCGGCTGCACCGAGGGTCATACAAACAGCAGCAGCTACGCCTGCTGCTGCTGTCGCCGTATCTGTGCGTGGAAATATAGATATATATATATATACATATATATATAGACAAATGTATATATATAGACTTATATATATATATATATATAGACATATATATATATATATGTATACATATACATACATACAGAGACCTATGTACATCTTTACATAGATACATATAAAGCTATCTATATGGACACTGAAAATTATAAATGTAGATAAAACTACATATCTATCTCTATATACATATACATAGAGACAGATAAAATATATATATATATATATATAAACCTATGTGTGCAAGTAGTATACCTTGAGATGTTGAATGACTTGAAAATGGTCGGGACTAGTGATGCGCCTGCTGCTGATCACTTGTGCGAAAAGGAGATTCTGATGGTGCTGCTGCTGAAGTTGTTGGTGAGGAAGACGGCCTTGGAGAAAGGCTACGCGCTGAATCAGCGGCATCAAATCTACAGAATCGGAGGTAGCGGGGGTAGCTGCAGCGCTTCTTGCGGAGGCTTCTCTCGCTGCGAAGTCGCATGCAACTTGGCGAGCCAGCAGCTCGACCTTGTAAAGCGGCGACGGCAGCCACACATCCCCCTCTGCAGATTGAGGTGTCCATACACCGCGTGCGTCATCGCTGAAGAGGTGAGGGGCTTGCTGCGGCAGCTGCTGCAGCAGCAGCAGCAGCCAAGGATCGAGCTCCCCCTCGTATCCAAAGTCGTGTTGTTCGTCGCCTAATCCTAGTCTGAGTGTACAGACAGCCGGAAGAAAACAGCAACAAAGCGCGCAAACATTTGAAGCCGCAGCGGTCAACCCATTCAAGAAAAGAAGCCGCACGCCATTGGATAACAAACTCTGAATTGCTGCATCCGCGCGAACTGACGACAGCAGCAGCCAGAGCAGCCCTTAAAAATACATACATACATGCATATACATATGCACGTCCATATACACATACATATACACACATATATATATATATATACATACATATACACACACATATATATATATATACATACATATACACACATATATATATACACATACATATACACATACATATACACACACACATATATATATATATATCCATATACACATACATATATACGCCTATATGTATATATATATGTAGATCCATAGACACATACACATACACGTGCATATATAGAGAGCTTTGCACGATGGCGAGCAGTGCAGACGGCGTAGATAACGGCTGGCTTCCAATGCCACAGGAGCACCGCGCCTTTTGAACGGCAGGCAAGCTGTGACTGATTCGCTTACCTGCATATCGGTTGAGCTCCCAGTTGCTCGAAGCGGCGAGCAACTTTGAGGGCTGCGAAATTGAATTCGACGTATCTTCGATCGCCTAATCCGAAAACTGCGAACCTGCACGGCGCAGAAACAGACATCCGTGAGCCTTAGAGCGTTTAGGGACTGAAGAGCGCAGCGCGATCCTTACACGCACCATGCCGCCGCGAGAATCTTAACGTGACTCCAGGCAGAATGCAAAAAGAATGAAGACTTTTATAGGGGGATGGCTAAGCCTTAACGGACTGAATCCAGGAGAGGTGATCGGAGGGCAAGTGCGCCTCTAAAAGGCCACGCCAAATGTCTTTCATCGAATCTGGAATATCTCCGTATCCTGCAGCAGCGCAAACAGCGGCAGGCACTAGACAAATAACAGGCGAGCAGCGATGTTTGCATGCATGCATGCATGCAAACATCGCAGGAGTCCAACAAAAAGATGCCGCCACGGCCGAGGAGTTCCTGCGCCACGTTTGCCAGAAAAGGCGCGGCAACGGCATCCACATACAAACCTTCCTTACGGAAAAGCGCTTCATCATCATCATTATTATCATCATCATTATCATCAGCATCATCTTTATCATCAGCAACATCATTATCATCATCATTATCATCAGCATCATCATCATCATCATTATTATCATCATCATTATCATCAGCATCATTATTATCATGATTATCAGCATCATCATTATCATCATCAACATTATCAGCAACATCATTAACATCATCATCATTATCATTATCATCATCAAGAGCATCATCATCATCATCATCATTATCATCAGCATCATCATCATCATCATTATTATCATTATTATCAGCAACATCATTATCATCATTATTATCATTATTATCAGCATCATCATTATCATCATCAACATTATCACTATCATCATCAACATTATCACTATCATCATTATCATCATCAGCAGCAGCATCAGCCGCGCATACCAGTCGTAGAAACGACAAGCACAAGAACAGCCTTCGCGTCCTTTTGCTGCTGTCTAAGGCGCGCATGCTGCTGCAGCACTTGAGGCCACCCCGCAGCGAAGGGCAGCAGCAGCGGCGGCTGCTGTAGCGGCAGCATGCGCTGCACTTCCCTCCAGATGTCTGCTGCCGCTGCGGCTGCATTCCCAGTTTGCGTTGCATACAACACCATAAGAGGAAACGGACTGCACCTCGCACCGTCCTTGCATGTTTCTCTAGCGTTCTCCCTCGCGTCTAACGCTGAGGCATCTGCTGCTTCTGCTGCATCTGCTGCTTCTGCTGCATCTGAAGCAGCGGCAGCACGCGCACACACAGCAGGAGCCTTTAGGCCGTCTGCTGCTGGTGCTGACGTTGGAACTGCTGTCGGTAATCTCTTTCCAGCTGCAGGCTGGAGATGCCGCGGAGAAGTGCGAGCTGCCGCGGCTATTGTTGAATCTCTCGAAGGTGCTGTCGCTGCTGCAGCTTCGCGCATGCGAAGAGGCTGTTCAGACACCGTACGAAGCCACGATGCTGCAGGCGAACCCCCGGCGAAAGGCCTCCGCGCGACGTCCGTACAGGCGGCTGAAATAGCAGCCTCCTCTCCCACTGATGCATCATCGCAACCATCACCAGACACCGAAGAAAGTGCTGCACGTGCAACCTGAAGCAGCGCAGCAGCAGCAGCAGAAGCAGCATCACACATGTCGCTCTAGTGGCAATTCCTGTAGAACTAGCCCTCTTGCAGACGACGATGCTGCTGCGAAGGTCACGCTTCGTGAGAGAAGACAGCGCATGCAGGTGATGCACACGACACCTCAACACAGCAAACGGCCAGGAAAGGCAGTCATAGCAGATGCGTGCCTGCAGCAGCAGCCGCAAGAACTGCAGCCGGTGCGGCTGCAGAATCGACAGCTCCCGCCTCGGAAAGAGAGAGCTGCAGCAGGCAGGAGGCGAGAGAAGGCTGCTGGAGAAAAGACGTGCGGAGGCATCCTTTGCGCGGCGCTCTCGCGTGGCAGCGAGGCATGTGAATGAAGCAGCTTCTCCGGAGCAGTCAGAGGAAACAAAGCAGCAGAGAAAAACTCAGCCCCTCCTGGTTGCTGCAGCTGTAGCAGCTGCCAAGAGGAACGCCAGACCCCCCGAAGCACGTGACATGCATGTACACCACACCTCCACGAGAGGTCACCCTGCCAAACCACGATGGAAAGCTCTCTGCCAGTTTGGCTTCTGTAGAATGCAGCGACGCTGCAGCTGCTGAAGGACGGAGCACCTTTATTTTCCAGTGCCCTTTGCAACAGCAGCGGCAAAAAGCGCCGGCGGCTGTTGGCAACAACAGCCGAATCTGCTGCTGAATCTGCTGCAGCTCTTAGTGAGGCAGCAGCACCCTCAACAGACAGCCGTTTCCTCTTCTTAGCATGACGAAGGGCAGCCTGGCACGCATTGCTACGGGCAGAACCGCTTTTGCCGCTAGGGGTGTGTCTCTGCGGCAGACACGACACTGCAGCTAAAGACTGCTGCTGCTGATGATGAGGATGCTGTGCAGCAAAAATCGCCAAACCTATTTGATCTCAGCGATTGGTGTTGTCGTTGCACTGCCCACAAGGAACTTCCCCAATCGGCACAGACTGCACAAATCGTAGGATGACGGCAATCCACGCGGCGAGCGAAGAGGGGCACTTTGAAGCTGCCTGGTAGTGTTGCTGATGCGGTAAGCAAAAATATCCCGCCTGTTGTTCTACTAAGGCTGCATTTGCTGTCTCTGCTGCATTTGCTGTCTCTGCTGCATTTGCTACATTTGCTGGCTCTGCTGCATTTGCTATATTTGCTGGCTCTGCTGCGGCTTGTGCCAAAACGTTTGCATCATCAACAAGAAGAGTCAACATTTCCGTCCGTAAAATTTGCGAAGGTGGTGAAGGTAGAGTGGCCACCACTGCTGGAGACGCCGCTTGCTGTACTTCTGTACCGTCATCCTCTGCTTGCTTCTCTGTCTGCTTTGCAACTGTGAGCGTTGTCGCTGCTGCTTGAGCTACGCTGTGGCTTTCTGCGCGCGGCAGCGAAAGCTCCTCTTCCCTTGGTCCCTACATCGAATTTCTGTATCTTCCCCTCTGCCCGCTGTTGCCACCGATAAAAAGCTGCGGATGTCGAGGAGTCTGCACACGCCAATGCAAATTCTGATGCTACACGTCTGCTTACCTCCACTGCTTCCATCGCGTTCCCTTGGGGTTGCCGTATGCAGTCATCCGAAGAATTCAGAATCGGAAAACGACCACGATGCGGCTCTCGTCTCCGTCTGGAGCGCATCTTGAGAGTAGGCTCCTGCTGCCCCTGATGATCATTATTATGCTGATGATTATTAGGCTGATGATTCTGATGATTATTAGGCTGATGATTCTGATGATTATTAGGCTGATGATTCTGATGATTATTAGGCTGATGATTCTGATGATTATTATGCTGCTCCTGATGATTCTGCTGCTGCTCCTGATGAATCTGCTGCTGCTCCTGATGAATCTGCTGCTGCTCCTGATGATTCTGCTGCTGCTCCTGATGAATCTGCTGCTGCTCCTGATGACTCTGCTGCTGCTCCTGATGATTCTGCTGCTGCTCCTGATGATTCTGCTGCTGCTCCTGATGATTCTGCTGCTGCTCCTGATGACTCTGCTGCTGCTCCTGATGATTCTGCTGCTGCTCCTGATGATTCTGCTGCTGAGTCGGCCTACACAAGCCTGTGTCTGTGGCTCCTGCTGTTGCAGTTTTTGCCACAGATGCACGTGAAGCTCGGTTCTTACGCCGAGTAAACCGCCGCTGAGGATGCATGATGGCGTGGCTTGTGCGACCTGCTGCAAGGCACCACTCTGGTACTGTCTTCTTCTTTTGCACAGAACGCCGCTGCTGCCGCTGCTGCGTCTGCTGTTGCTTCTGGTGCTGGTTCTGCTAGTGCTGCTTGTGCTCAAGACTCAGGCAGCATGTGAGCAAGCTGCTGCAGACAGATGCCCGCACAGTGGTGCTGCAACAGCTTGCACTTCGTGGAAGCAGCTGCCGCTCGTCTTTCGGCCGCCTGTATCTGCTCCTGCTGCTGCTTGAGCTGCTGCAAGGATAACTCGCCCTGTGGCTCCACTACTGGCGCTGCTGCTGCTGCTGCTGAATCCTGCTGCATGCGATCAGACACGGCAGCAAAGCAAAGCGACTCGCACCGCTGCCAACGCGCCACGAGCTGCTGCAGCTGCCGAGGCTCAGGAGTAATTGCAGGTCTCGAGAAATGAAACATTGGCTCTGTGTTCTGGAAGCACGATTTCCAACGCCCGGCACGCCGTTTCGGAGGAAGACTGCACCAGCCTCGTTTCGTGGGGAGGAAAGCAGCAAAAACAACGCAGAAACACGCGATTAAAAACCAACTGACAGCTCCGAAGCCTCAAACGCCGCCCGCCCCCTCCACAATCACATCCGCACACCGACGGTTAGTTGGCTTGCAAAGACGCCGTGGAAGGGATCGGTGGCCTTCCTCTACACCCCTATCCATACTTCAAACGGTTAAACTGCGTGCTCTAGAGCGCAATGTCGAGAGTTTCTCACCAAGGATGCACCGAAGATGCTTCGCTCTGGAGGCGGAGTAGCAGCAGCCGTAGGACTCTTCCCAGCCCCCAGCCGCAAACAAGCAACCCCACCCCGTTGTTTGAATTCGACCACAGAGCCACGCCAGCCGCAGAGTCACTACGTGAGCTCCTGAACAATTTAGGTCATGCGGCTCTTCTACGGCCGAACGCTGCACAAGCGGTGGCTCGTGCCTTTGCATGCAGCCCGATGCTCCCGACACGAAGCAGTGTCTAGCCTCTCAGGCGTTTCAGACGCTTATATCCACCTTGCTCTGGGCAGCCACACTCTGGAGTCCAAAACTCGCAACCGCTATACCTTGTACAGTTGGGTGAAGTCTAGCATTCTGCGGAATGCTCCGGTCCGCTCGTACTGTATCGACAGACACATACGGCAGCAGTAGAAGATACACAGGAACACCGCTTCTCGGGTTTACACCGGCAAACACACATTCTTTGCATTGGCAACCGTTGCACATGCCCCAGCCGCCGCTGCTGGAGGTGCGAAGCCTGAGCAACACCAGTAGCAGTACAAGCAGCAGTGTGGTCGGCAGCAACAACAGCAACATGTGCGGCAGCGGGCGTGCCAGCGGCATGAGCCTGTGATCCAGCATCCAATTAGACTTCGTGACTTTGAATGTCATTGTTTTGTTCGAGTTCATCCAGCGAAACTGGGGCGGAATGCCGCGCGCTGCCTTCCTCACACCCTGTAGCCGCAGCGACAGGCACAGCTCCCGGATTGCCTCTGGCGCGTTCCTAGGTCTCAGCAACAGCGGGAGTCATGAGTTCACGACTGCCGCTGCTTCCTGCGCTGCTGCAGGAGGAAAGGAAGGAGGCTCAGACTCGTGGCGAGCAGGATACCGGTCGAGTGCATGGCGTTAGAGGGTTTGTTTTGTGCGAAGTTGCAGGCCACGGTTTGTTGCTGCTGAAGCGGAAGAAGAAGAAGAAAAGCGGAAAAGGCGCTTCTGATGAAGAAAAAGCGCCGACTCTGCAGCTGCCAGGGGGTCATGCGGATTGGAGTGACCTCCCCGCTGCTCAGCAGAGGTACTGTACCGCGTGTACAGCAGGGCGTCATGTAGAACATGGCCAATTTACCGATCTCGGAGATGCAGAAAAAAGACGCAAAGTGCTCTGTGTGTGTGGATTTACCCTCGATTTAGAGAGGACTCGATTGGCGGTTGCCGCTGAGATGGAAAAGCGGGTTCAGCAAGAGCTCGAAAAGGAACCGCAGCATGAGGAAATACGGCTACTGCAGCAGCAGCACCTGATGCAGGAATGGGCACGGGTGGCTGCTGGAAGGGAGCTGTGGGAAGAGACAGGGGTGGACATTCGGAATAACTTGGAATTGCTGATCCCCCTTCCGCCTATTTATGGAAAGCGTGTTTCTGCATTTTATTTCCTGCTTCAGCTTCCCGCTGATCGGGCTAATTCATCTCTTATTACGTCTCATGCGGTTTCCGGCGGGCCGTACGCCATACTGGGGCCCCTAGGGGGAGGCGCCCCCAGCATGCTCCTTAGGATAGACCAGAGGGAACATGACGGATTTCTCTTGCAGCAGGATCTGCGAAAAGCTGCAGAGAGCGTTCAACACCACTCAGGTGGCAGATCCACCCAGGCTGTTCTAAAGTTGCTGGAGCTCCTGGAGGGTGCGAACGAAACGACAGTTTCGTAATGCACATGAATTCACATGGTAACTAGTCCCGTATGTAGAGGACTGTGTGGATGCTTCCACACAAGTGCACAAGCTTACATCCCTCCGCCAGGATGGAGGAAAAGGCGTATTGCCGAAAAAGAGGCCAGCGATGCCGTTACTCGTGCTCTCCCGCACCGCGCTGAGCTCACTGTATATCACTGCCATGTGAGACAATGAAACACCTGCCACTGCTCGCTGGCAGAATCTGAACATAATTGTGTTTCTGTGCATCTGGTCCTTGTTGCTAGGGGCCGCGATTTCTCCGTTTGTCTCGGCAATCACAACAGAAATTTGAACTTAAGGGCTCCGCCCTTGACATCAGCAGCAGGGAGGAGGGGTGGCGGCATCGAAGCGCCTCCTCGATAGGCTTTTCGGACTCGAAACCCTCAATTGCTGTAATGAGTCTTCTTGTGTGAACCAAAAATTAATACTTGGATATGATA